TTAAGACTAAGCTATAGAAAAGATCATCGCAAAGACTGAAAAATAAGTACTATAAAGAACAGAGATGCAGACTAAGAAATCAAACCACAAAGGTATGAAGAGCACAGTTAAGGCACAGACAGCCTGAGCTTCTTTCTGGCTGTGATATCCTCCAGTAAGTGGCTACAATCAGGATAAAATAACAGGCCCTGTTTCCAGGCTAAACTTCTCAACTTCTTTCTCCCTATCACAAAAGTTGCACTAAATTTAAGATGTTTCCTCCCATCACAGAGGAACTGCAAGAGTGGGACTTATGTGAGTGCCTCTCTCCGTGCAATTGTAACCTAAGAGTACAGAAAAGGTCTAGCTACAGTGAGAAGAGCAATGAAATCAAAAAAATACAATCACATTGTCAGCAGCAGCCTCCCACTTCAGAATGCGGCTGTATGGCTTCCAGTATTTTTTTTTTTAATACTTTGTTATTTAAAACAAACTGTAGATTTAGGCTTCAACCGTTATCTGGATCTCACCTTGCAGCAGTCTCGTTAACTTTGAGTCTCTGTAGGGGACAAAACCACCCTTTTTATTTTCATCACCAAGAGCACTAATTACATTCCCCAGGCAGAGAAGACCTCTGTTAATATTGATACCTGCAAACAAACAGACGACAATGAGTAGAGCTACCTCAATAGCTAGAAATTGGTTATTTCCTTGAGTTTTATAAAACGCAAAAAGGTAAAAAATGCATTATACTTAAAGAAACTGCTTTGCTTCTTCTAACAAGAACTCCATGTACAAGCTCAAAAGCAGTAAGAAACACAAGCTATACCTGTTCTTCATCTACTGACCTTCTTTTAGTCGGTCTCCCTCAGCCTTGGTCTTCTTTTGTCTCTCAGATCCAGCAAGATCAACCAGGTGTAGCTTGGAGCGAAAACTGCTGTTCCTGTGGCAGAAATAGAATATTTTACTCTCTCAGGTAAACATGCAGCTAGGAACAGAGCAGTCTGGCGGTTAGTACAGTTGAGCTACTGGGCTGAAAAGTGCAGTTCAAAATAAAGGAACAGCAAATAAAGGAACTACCTCAACTGTAGCTGAGCTGAGTTCATCTAAGACTAAGAGAACAACAGACTATGAAATTTGCAGTAAGCCTGACTCCTAACTGCTGCTAGGAGTATCAGCGCTGTCACACTTACTTGTCATTTTTCTTCTTCTGATCAACGGAAATGGTGAAGATGGCATGTGACCGGGAGGACTGGGAGTTCATTGCTGTGGAGGCCACCGTTCTGGAATTGTTTCCTTGCTCTAGGCAGGATACAGTGTCTTGGGCACAGGCGACGCTTCTTTCTGTTAACCCTATAATCTGTATCCGGGAAGAAAGTATCATTTATCCTCTCTTTCCTCTTCACCCCTAATTTACTGCTTCACAAAAATTCTCTCATCTCAGACTACAGCTATTGAAATGAAGTCTCTGAACATACACATTCGCACAAAGCTAAGTCTCACTTTAGGGGAGAGGGTTAGTATGGATCCCCCAGCAAAAATTTGTTCTGAACTTCACGTCAGTAACTTGTAAATTACATCACCTCTTTCTCATCTCACTCCGGCATGCACACACCAAGCTCTTCTACGCCTGATAGACAGCTGGGCAATGGGTTGGACACAGGACTCCTCAGTACTCCACAGAGGAGCCCATAACAGTCCTCGGATATCCTCTGGCCCAGCTGGTAGCACAGCATGCATCTGGGGACTGAAAGTTGTGCCAACCCCAGGCAGAGGAAAGGGAGACTGATTGATGGGGGTGGGGGAATTGGAGAAAAAGAGTAAAAGGCAGGCAGGTATTAGGGACATAAAGGACAGAAGGGACTGAGTAGTAGGGACTGGTCTTTGTTCTTGGTAAGACTGAGCTTTCCCCAAATGGCCTGTCTCCCTGGAAAGCGATGCCGCTACTAACAGCTTAATTACCAAACAAGCACGCAGAGCAAGCAGCAGCATGAGGTTTTTCTGCATTACACTATAAACACACTTCTACAGGAAACTGTTAAAAGAATGAGTTAGTCATTTGAATAGTTTCTGTCAGGATCCTTTTGTTACACATCACTTGGCCAAACTGAAGAGCACAACTGCAACAGTGTAATTGGCTTAGAGGACATGAAGTACATTCCCAGATACTCACCTAAATCAGTCTCAAGAAGAGCCAAAAGACTTGCAAATGCCTTTGTAATGAATATCTAACATCTTCTCTACATTTTGAGAAACATTAAATGCTCACCAACAGGTCAATTTTGAGAAGAGCTAGCAGTTGTGGTGATTTTATAGGCATATGTTTATAAAGTGAGCAGTGCGAGAACAGTCCTCAAGAAGACAGACAACTGTTTTATTGAAACATTTGTCCCTAGCCATACCGCTTATGCGCCCGTTACATATCCATTTCTAACAGGACAACAGACCTTTATTCCTTCTTTAGGATCTTCCCGGATACTGATTTGAGAAGACCGTTCTCTAGATGGGCAGAGCAGGTCTAGAATATCTTCGTTGTAGATCTGAAAAGATCAGAACAGCAGCTCAGACTTAGCAGCCTTGCAAGAAAAGAGCTTGCATAAAGAACGATGTACAACTAGGCTCAGATCAGGGCTAGCTTTGCATGACACTGTACCATTTTACCTTTAGTGAGAGGTAAACAGGATTTAGAATTCAGATGCTGAAGATAAGACCTTATATGATCTTAAGTTTTGATTTCACAAACTCCTAATACCTGAAGGAGGCAGCTTCATTAAGGCTCACTTTGTTTACAACTCACAACTCTGTAATATTTTGAAAAAAATCAAAACAACTTTTACCTCTAAATAGGAGACTTTGAGGACAAACTCCCAATCCTGCCTCTGCTCCTTTTCTTTAAATAGCAGTTTGATTACCCGAGGGATAACCCCCACGCTAGGCTCATGCTCTTGATTGGCAGTGTAGGTACCTCCCATGGAGTACGTTTTTCCAGATCCTGTCTGTCCGTAGGCTAACACAGTAGCATTATACCCTTCAGAAATAAAGAAGGCCTAGATCAGAAAGTCAGGTGGAAACGAGCAGAAACTTTGACAAATTAAGTGGCATTCCAGTAAAAGCATCCTTCCAAAAAAGGACTGCCACTCACCATCAGTTTACACAGCCTTGACCCACAGGTCACAGTTAACAACATCAAGGGAGAAAGCCAATGAAAAACACCCCAAAGCATAGATAATTTTATCTATCTATCTATCTATCTTTTTAAGGACAGCTCTGTTGCTTTAACTAGAGAGGGTCGTAGATATTCTGTCATTCCAACTCCACTCCAGCACCAGTAATGCTTTCCAGTATAGGATGCTTATCAGCTCATCGTGTTATTCTTAATAAATCTCTCCTGCCTTAACATCTTCAAGAACCAAAAATGACCCAATGAACATGAATATGTCATCTTGAGAGCCCAAGGGAAGCCTACAGCTTGTAAACAGGCAAGATCTGGCACTTCTCACCCCAGGCTGGAGCCAGTGCCTAGAGAACAAAGAATTTTAGTTTCTGGGAAGATGCAAGAAGAAAGGACTCAGAACGGAGAGCTAAACAGCCTCTTCTTTCACACATCTGAACCCATTAGGACTCCCAGTGCTTTAAAACAGAGTCGGAATTCAGTTATTACAAACCTTTGAAGATGCCCCGTATGAGAGGGGCAACGGCCGTGTTGAACACCTCCTCTTGCTCAACAGAAGGATCAAACACGTAGTCATATGTGAATGATTTATCGTTGCCTACAATCACCTACAAAGGAGATGTAAGCGAACAGCATTGACTGCACTGCTGTGGTAACCAGAGGCTGCATTCAGCATGGAAATACATAGGTGTATATAACTATATAGAGATATCTAGAGGTACGTATATGTGGTTACACGCAAGGCTGACTCTTCAAGCACAGCAGGCCGGCTCCCTTACCTGCGGCTCCCCCGGAACGAAGGAAAGGCACATCTGGCACCCTTCATCCGTCTCCTTCGGCACCAAGGGCCGGCAGCGCAGCGCCACGCGCACGGGGATCACCTTGTCATCTTCTCTCACCATTTTCAGTTACGCGGGCTGCCCTGAGGACGAGCAGAGCGGGGTCAGGCTCCCCCAGGAGCAGCGCCCGCC